GATCAAGACTAAACTCGAAAATCTTTGGAACGATTAATACCGGCGCTCAATTGGTGAGAAAATTCGGTAATCAGGGACGGTCGGTTGTGAAAAATAACAACTTTCTCTTCGAAAGGGTGCATGATCTTGTGCTCACTTCTTCCATAATTTATCTTCGCCCTTAAAGAAGCATATATTGCGCGTTAGATCATCCCGTGGAAACACTAGACAGGAAATTCATACCTTAGGTCCTTTGCCAATCACTCCACCGGGAAGCATCTTAATCCCACCAGCAACCATACGAACGGCAGTGGGACCGGACTCAGGTGAAATGCCGGGTGCACTGAGCGGTCCGCAGGAGGGCGGGCCACGGTCTGAAAGGGAACACCAGAAGTGGAAATTAGAAGCTGGATAAAGTATGATTACCTACAGACCTAACGAGTAATTTATAGCAAACCTAAGAACCTGTGCTGTGTTCACAGACAGTAAACAGGGAGCGGCCACAGATTTTGACCATAAGACGCCAAAAAATGAAGAGTCAATATAAAATTCCCATTCTAAAGGACCCTAGGAACGACGTGCTTTTCAGTCGTACCCTGCGGAATTGAGATGGCTGTTCCACATGTACATACGCTCGGCGACAAAACCCAAACGCGTGAAAACTGACTAGGTATGGATGAAGTTATTACGAAATGCTGCAACACTGTCTTACAGAAATGTGAGGTCTGTAAGGTTGTTGCGCAAGGCAAAAGTGACAACTTCGATGCACCTAGCCTGGATAGGACACACACCAAACGATGGACGTGATAGTAACATTCGTCGTAGCTTGCTCACCATCAAGCTCAGTTTTGGCGGTTTTCCAGTTTGGCACGCAGTAAACTAAAGTGAAAGGGTACGGTCACTAAGTTGTAGTTTGAAAGGTGAGTTCCAGTGCTCAAACCTTGATCCTAGAGGTCATCCTGAACTAGCAAGATGCCAACGAACTCTAGTTCATATGACGACGAATAAGCGGGTTGAGTAACACAATACAGACTACTTCTGAGTGGATCGCTAAGCGTATAAGATCACCGAGAAAAACACCACAAAAGGAAAAGTTTGGGAGATAACGAAAGAATCCGGACAAACCACCAGGTGAAAATTAGTCGCAAAACCAAAGATAGATAGTAACCGGCGAGACAATAGGCAGACAGACTTTAGGCCGTCATTCATGTTCATCGAACAACAGACGTTTCCAGTCTATCTTACTTCCGCTGTAAATCTATGCCGGATGCATTCGCGCAAAACTATGAAATCAGGATCGACTGACGGGATACGGTCAGGTTGTTGAGAAAAGAACAATGTTACTAATGGAACAGAAACAACTCATTGGGCTCACAATAGAGAAGTCAGACGAAAAAACTGAATCACCTGATGGTTGTGGAAGACCTGGGGCGTATTGCGGATGGAAATGCTCTCTGATGGGTTGACCAGCAGGTCCACCAGCAGGAGTAGGAAGTCCTGAAGGATACGCTGGTGCGTTGCTACCGCTCAGTGGCTGTTGTGAGAGTTGTGCTGGGCCATTCAGTCCCATACCAGATGGATAGGGATGCGAAGGATAAGGAGGTTGCGAAGATGGGTACGGTAGTTGAGAATGGTACGATACGGGAAGTTGTGCATGAGGATATGGTCCGCCAGACAACTGTGGGATCGATCCTGTACTATTGGAGGAAGTTGCGCCCCCATGTTGAGGAGAGGGTGGATAACCAACAACGCGGTCTGCAGGACCAGTATAGAGTGGAGAAGGTCTTCCAGTAGCTGGAATGTTGAATAAGACAGTACACCACACGCTCAAGGTAAACAACAATCCGGCAAAAAACACGGGGCAAAGCGATATTCCTAGACAAAAGTTCAATGCTGAGGGTGGTCTGCAAAGCAACGTGTAAAGGAAATAAAGTGATTCTAGCATGCGCAGGAAATTATTAGGTCTTCGCGCTGGCTAGGATAGAAATTTCGTCTGATTAACAACTTGCGTCAGTGTGTGGAAACGCAGTCTCATTTCAGGGTAGAGTTATTCAAATAGCATGCAAGCGCTGACCTGGGAGCAAAGCGAGCAGATTAGTTGTCTTCACTGCGGTTAGTGTCAAAACTCAGAAACACTATCACAGCAGATGATTTGTTCAGCTTCTGTCTAAACAACCCTGAGGTTTGTCATGGTTGTACTAAGGTTGATTGTGACAGGAGACAATTTCCCAACGGGAATGGCTGTATCACAAGACCATTCTGAAGTCAATCAACCTGATAATGCTTTTTTCAAGCAGAGTGATACAACAGGTTAAAACATCCTTTCTTCTCCCTTACACAAAAATGAGCCGCTATTGTAATTCACGGATCTGGTAATGTCCAGCCGTATCCCACACCTCATTTTGGTGACAACCTGATTTCGATACCCCGTAAAACTAGTTGTGAACAGAGTAGTGTAATGCACATACCGAACTGCTGCTGTGACCCCACATTGTTCGAAAGTCCCGGATGTTGGGATTGTTGGTCCCAAGAAGAAGTAGCCGGCACCATAGGAGCTGGATAAGGAGTACCGTTTGTGGTGGCTGATAGGTTGTAGGCACCTGGTAAAAATCCTGGTTGCGAGGTTGGTCCACTGGTCGCAGCTCCAATTTGACTTACTGCTGGAGGAGGGGCAGCTGGAGGAGGCATCATCCCTGGACCACCCGGGCCTGTCTGAGGCAGAAACTGTCCCGGTGGACCTGCAGAACGAGGGGGGCCACCGGCCGTAACGCCTAGCGAGTGCATGGGGGAGGTCACGTGACGCATAGGGTGAGTGCCACCGGGATAGAATGCAGGCCCTCGACCACCAGCAAGGTAGTTGTTGGTGGTCGGTTGTTGTGTCGGTTGTCCTTGCATGTATGGTGGATATGGGTGTCGAGATACTGGAGGATTTTGGGATGGAATGCCATAGGGACGAGATGGAGGACCCACTTGGCCAGGCAATCGTTGCAACCCTGAGATGGAGGTAAAAGTGGGATCTAAAATGACTGATTGTGCTAGATGCGTCAGTTCGGTAATGCAACATTTCCAACAATAATAAAAGCAGAAGAGACGAAATGAAATAAAAGCCTTTGGTGAGGGCAGACAGTTAACAAAACAAACTAGTCTCAACACGGAATCCCTATTAGAAAATTGTGACTTACCACTAACGTTCATTGCAGGAGGTCCACCTACTGACTGTGCCGCCTGGGCTGGGACCGAGGCTGACGTATTAAAGGCAGGTTGTTGTGAGAAAGATGGGTATGACTGTGGTGTCCCCCTGGAAACGTTCGGTGACGAGTTCGGGGAAGAGATATTTGAAAAGTGAGGAGGTCCAGGATGGGGTGAAGAAGAATCCATCGAGACACTTGGACCGGAAGATAAAGAATCCGAGGTGACCGGTAGCAAATCAGTTGCATTTGGTAACATTTGCTCTTCGACATGCTCTCTGATCCCAGATCCGGAACTGTTTGCAGTCGGTGGCCGACCAGCCTTCAGAAGAAAGGATAGTACCGGTTTAGCACTGGTCTAGTAGCGATAAAAAACAAGAGGACAGCAGACCAATTTTACGAAAAAAAATAATTTCGTGCACTCGGGCCGCGAATAGTATCGTTTTCCACCGTATCGGTGCGTATGCAATTGTGGTATGTTTTATGGGCAATACATGGCAACATTAGTGCTGTAATTTGGATTCCGTGTTGTTCTCACTGGCTCGAGACCCAAGTAATCCAGTAGCACAATAATAGGCTAACTCGAGACACTTAGCCGAACGGGCACTGTTTCGTTAATCCCGGGGTAGCAGCAGTCCAGCCATCCGGCATACACATAGGTGATCGACCGAAGGATCTACTGTGGACGAAAGTTAGTAAACCACGTGTCATTATTTTCGGATGACAATGCTGAATGCAGCTTTTTCTCTCCGCTAGCCTACCTTTGAAATTCGGATACTCTAAAGAAAAATGCAGTGTATAATTATGTAGTCAGTTTCCGATAGAAGTAAACAGGACCATAACGACAGAAGTGAAACCGACAAGTAGGCCGATTTCTTTTATCTAGAACCTGACGCCATACATCTTACAAAAAACTACGCTGACGGAGGAAATGATCGGAAAGTATAGCACATGCATGTGATCGCCAATTATGCCGGCGACTATTACAATGAAGGGGATGATGTAAAAACATAAGAAGCAGCGGAAAGAAAAACATATGGTAGGGCAATTACATATCCGTGAGCAGTGAAGAGAATGTGGAGTTCCGAAACGGGATCCGTTGTTGGGAGCTAGTTCGGCTACGTTAGAGATAAAAAGCAATATAGGGTTGTTCGCTTCATCACTCAGAAGTAGTAGTACGAATCCATAAAAATATGACTGATTCTAGAGTCGGTTTCTCCAAAAAAAAAACATTTAAAATACGGGAAAAGCATGCTCGCTCCCCGTTTTGATCTAGATACTCTCAGCCTGATTGAAATCAGCGAGCACTTTTCGTTACATTGTCACTTTGTCTATATTGACTCATCCACTATGATACTCGTTCAGACGTAGCATCCGTGTCGGTGCCTAGCTGCCATGCCAACGGAAAGAGACGGGCCTGGGATATTGCCAGGTTTCCCAAGCCTACACAGGGGAAGTTGAGATGAAGAGGTCGGGTTCGTAGGCTGGCGGCTTAAGCACTAAGCTATTTCGAACTATCTCTCAACATGATACTGAGCGCCATCAAAGTGAAAACTCACTTCACTCAGCCGGGACGGGGGCCGTGACCCAGCTTCATCCTCAGCTTGTGCTGTAGCACATTCATTTGTACAATCTGCCTGAGCAATGGTGGAAGGTTCGCTGGATGGTTCACTGGACACCTTCATAGGCTGTGTGTCCCGAGACGCACTACGCGGTCTTGGTTGTTGTTGCTGCTGAGGTTGTTGTTGAAACGGGGACTGACCGTGATTGAGTTGTTGTGGTGATCCAAACGGACGGCCCTGTGGTGGCCAATTAGAGGACGGGGGATTACCGCTATTTCCACCGGCATGGACGGGAGAAGAAAGCTGGCTAGAGGGTGAAATCGCAGGGTTTTGTCCATGAATATTCATAGATCTGGAGGACGGACGGTCCATAAGCGAGGGACCACTAGTTGGAGGTGTTGAGGGTACTTTGGATGGTGCCGCTGCATTGGAGATAGGATACTCACTCGCTGATGTTTGGGATAAAGGCTGCTGGCGCAGTTGCTGTGTTGGTGTCTGGTAATACGGGTAAGCTGAGCTCGGTGGATAGCCAGGATAGGCAGTGCGACCGTAGGGATCAGGATAGCGAGGGTTCGGTGTGTTCATATAGGGATAGGAAGTTGTCTGAAAAAGAGTGGCAGAGTTGCCGATAAACGGGTTATGGGAACAATATTAATGTCCAAAGTATCTTAGGTACATATCGCAAGACGTTAAAATCTCTTGAAGAGATACTACTTCTGAGAGGTAAAGAAATCCCTGGACCAGTTTGTAACTCACACTGAAACTCCTCAAAGGCGGACAGTTCATTCCGAACGCCTAACCAGTAACAGCATTAGAACCTCGATCGTTTCGGTTAGTCGTCTGGGTCAGCACCATTCAAACCTAGATGCTGCAATACCTGTTTTATAAAATAAGACCTGCCACTCAGACGCTGTATGACGGAAGAATAGGAGAAATATGAAAAATGAGAGTACGCATGAAACAAATAAGCTCCTTTGCACGAGCTACAGAAGTACAGAAGTATACTGTAGTGGAAAAAAATTGAAAACAGAGACTATTAGGGGCTTGTAGCTGCACATGGAAAATTAGTAGCACAAGCTTCAAATAGGGATAAAAATGACCCAATGAGCCATATCATGCAAATTAACGGGTATCCGCTGCTCGTGACTTTGTAGAATGTGGGATCTTAGAATGAACAAACACATGCCATAGATTGGTCCCGTTCTCGACAACTCAGATCGTCGAAAAAAAGCAGTTGTTCAATAACATCTTCGATTCGGGTTGACACAGCATTTAGATGCTGTAGGGTTAAATGAGGTTCATAAATTAAGGTCGAAAACATAAAGCAGATAATAGGTTAACGGTTAAGAACAAGCGAGGGGATATACAGGCACCAGTGGCTATGCTCGAAGTTAGCGCAGGTGTCTAGTCACCGATGGAGGTCTGTGGTACTAGAACCACGAAGACGACATAAAGAATAATATTAAGTAGGAAAATAATCGATAAGTACACTCATTTGCAGATCAATCTGGTTCAAGTAGAACATAAGGTTGACGAAAACTCGGGCTCTGCGCCTACCTGATGAGCCTCAAGAAGGGCGAAACCTGTCGTGGGTTGTCGAAGAGTTTTCGGAAACCTTGTGAGTAGTTTCCTCTCTGAAAAAGGACAAGAATTCAACTGTAGCACCCTTTCGGTGCTTAGCTGCCAGGTTGCCCAAGCCTAGACAGGAAAACTCGAGAGACAGAGGTCGGGTTCGAACCACTACCCTTCTGTTCAGTAAATTCGCCCTCTAACCACTAAGTCATCTGGCCTCACATAAAGCAGAACAACTGAAAACTGCCTGTGAACATCGCAAACTTGGTCTCCAGGCCATGCTTTGTCCACCTCGCGTCTTTTTTCGGTCAGAACTGACTTCAGAAAACAACACGGACAAACGATCAATTACCTGGCGTACCAAAAATATGGCCGGAAAAACGTGATTGGCATCGCGCGATCGACTAAGTTGAGTACTGCTTTTAGATATAAAAAGGCAGCAGTTATTGGTCTAATGTACACATAGTGATGTCCTGCGGGTTGTCAGAGGGCAAAGACCTGATCGATGCATCTAAAACCTAAAGGAAACTCTGCTTGGTTTCCACAAGATTGTTCCTTATGAGGACTGGTGAGCCTACGCAGGATGACACCAGTTTGCATGTTAGGAACGACGGTCTCGCATTTCTCGTGCTTTTTTGAAGACCGGAACGGCATTGTTTAACTGCCTCCGTCGCCGTATGAATACCCAGGGCAGGGCTTTAGGCCTCCTCAAAAAAACTGATTTCGCATCGAACTTCGTCAATAGTTGGGGCTGAGCAATTGGTCACACTGAGATATTTGCAGTGCTTGCCGTCAATTTAGGCACAAGCTAGCCAAACGGCTTGCCCAAATGATCTGTCCATAATAGCAGATGAGACGTCGAAAGTACACAGCTCGATTTGCGTATGGTTCTGATAACTCGTCAGCTCACATTACTACGGAGGTTTATCCAATTACACATGTAAGATCAGTCACCAAACTGGGAAACAGTCGACTGAAGAGTCACATGGATGAGTTAGTTAGCCGTGACCTCTGGGTGTTGATAAGGCACAAGGGGCACTGGTCGGTGTGCTTACCTGGGGAGATATCGGTGTAGCGTACGGAATGGATCGTAAGAGTTCAAGCACTCAAATAGAGAACTGGAGAAGAAGAAGAAGAAGAAGAAGAAGAGAACTGACCACAAAGAGAATGCGTGATTGTATTGATCACTGCTGGTTTGACTGTCCTGCAAACGAACTGGAGAGCTGGAGCTGACATCATGATGGATGCCAACAGAATACGTTTTATTACCAGTTCCCAGGCCGGACGGAAGATGCACCTTTATCCACCGGTTGCCTTATCATTAGACCAGAACCCTCAGCCGTACAGCACTATCAGGAGGAATATATTGGCGTTTTTTGAAGTCAGTCCTCTAAGAAGTAGGATGAGTCATCTACTCGCAAACAAAGAACGGTTGTAGCAGGAGCTGCATTCTATTCATAGCTTTATAAAGTCTGCGCTTATGCCAGCATATCTGCGGATCACCTCTGAAAGAATCATTCTCAAACTCAGTGACCTGGAGCTTAAGCAGCAAAGTAATAAAGTTACGATCAATGGGACTTTCGGGGAAGCTGGCTTCTCCTGTAATGCTTTCAATTACTCTAGTTACTCGCTGCAGAGCATCTTTAGAGCGAATTTTGGCGGCCTTACTGACTAAACAGTAACCAAGCGATCACTTCAAGGGGACAAACTAATAGAGTTGGTACACCGCCCTGTTTAGCTTGATTTTCCGCGGTGGAATAGCGGTAGCTGGGGTGTGTTTACCGCTTATTATCTGGTTAGCTACTGGTCCGTTCGCCGAGCTTGGCAACCTGTTTTCTAACGTCCCGCCACCATTCGAGGAAACATAACCAAACAGCTAACGATGGTGAAGATAAAAGAAACCTTTTAAAAATTGTGCAAATGTATGCACGAAAAACAGGAACTACCCAGCCAACCACGCCCTTATGTCTCCTAAATCAACACAGTAGAAGAAAAACGACGTTAAGGTGGCAGGCGCGCCACACAGGATTAGGCGTCAATCAGTTATTGACACAAGCTCCATATTCAGTAGAAATCCCGCTCATTCATTAGAGTCTACCAAACTTTTATCCGTCGTGCGCTGTTTCGTGGACACGAAATACTGCCCAGTTGGGTCAGAGATTAGCGATCATTGTTATGGTTTGGCGAAACCAGCCACATAAACAGCGGTATAAAATACAGAGGTTCACCAGGTACTCCCTGAACAAGATGGCAGCTTTTTAAAGGCCAAAAACCATATTAGTATCCGAGGTGGTCTTCATTGAACCAGAATTTAAAGCAAGGCTATCAACTAATATGGACGTGTCAGTTTGGTCTTCAACACATCCACAGTATCCGACGGATGCAACAAGACGGGGCTGATCACTCAGCGCGAGCAATTTGCAAGTCGCGTTGAAGTACAAGGAGCGTTTGGATATTTCCTCATCATCAACAGCTTCAACGAAAAAATATCCTGGTATCCGGTATCTGTATAACGTTCGTGACCAGTCCGTACCTTTGTGGGCATCGATCAATCTCGCAGTGAAATCAGGTCTGCCAAATAACAAAGACAGATTCGTTGGCCTTATCAAAGATGGAAGATATTCAGCTGAAACCTCTTTAGTATCGCAGAATCATGCGGTAACACTGCTTGTCATTTACGTATCGTTCACAGAAATGTAAAATTACTAGGGGCAGCAACAAAGTCAGCAACGAGAGTGAGCGATACCAAGTTGTTAAATATGGCTACTGAATTTTCAAGCGACGAAATGGAGATTTCACCAAAATTTGCAATAGACGGAACACCACACAAATTTGATGGACTGACTAAGAGACAGTGCACGCGCGCGAACGCACGTTCTCGCAACGTGCAATGCGCAATCACACAAACGAGAGAGCCGGTATGTCGCGCGTAGCTGCATCCAGACACAGCTTGAATGAGCGTCGGACTGACATGTGAACGGGGCTGAACGCTTGTGTATCGACCCACAAAACAAGAACAGTAAGCTAGTTGCAGTCCCCAAAGCAAATGAATAAGCAGACAACGCCAGAGCTTAAAGCAAACATACCATTTTTGTCCCACAGCACTAAGGAATACTAGTACGAAACGTGTCGATTCTCCCGTACTAAAAATCAGTTCTATTGTTTAATGCAGTGCGGAAGATGGCATAGTTAGCCTACATATCTGAACGCCGACTACAACAGTAAAGTTGGAATTTCGTTGGGAAAAAACGAGTGTCAAGCACCCATCACCATAACTGACCACCGATGATCGAAAATATGCAAACGACTGGGCCAGTACAATATGAGATGCTGGACAAATTAATCAACAAGTAATCACTAAATAACAAAAGTTCCGTTCTCCCAACATCAAGGCGCGAATGAGCCGGCCCAACCAATATGACTTTTGACACAAAGATAAGGTTTGTGAAACACCTGGGCGCGCCTCGGGTTTCCTTCCACAGGTACCACGTCTGATTTCCACCCGAATTATTACTTCCTGGGATCTAATAACGCACCGTGTACACGCTACGCCAATGTGAGTCCGACGTGCCATTGTCGTACGTCCGCTTTCTTCCTACCATAATTTTCACACATTCTAAAAATTCAGAGAGAATTTTGCTTGCAAGAGGCCTGTTCAGAAAAGGAAAAGTGGTAACTCTCCTCCAAGTGCCAATGAAGAGAAGGTGGTTCCAAGACAGCGAGACTTCCTGTTCCCCAAGTTATTCCCATTGAAGGAGATGACGTACCCCAAATATTAGAACCTCCGGGAGAGTGGCTTAAGAGTTCAAGTAGATGTGCTCATTGTGTGGAAGACTAGGTATTGACCAGTCAATGGATATGTGACAGGTCGCGTCAAGTACCCAAATAAAATGTCTTATACGTCAATCAATACAGCTGAACCCGTGCTGGATAACAATTCAGGTATGCTGGGGGATTCTGCTCCACGCAGTGACAGCTGTCGATCAGCACCAATCACGTTTGCAAATATCCACCATGCTTCCTTCTGGTGA